CCATTAGAATTGTTGATATTTCTTCCATATACGCCCTCTTACTTACATCATATTATTCGTGGTCAGAATAGCAGACAAAATACAAAACCGAACCAAAATGCAAATTTTGAGCTGTACTTGGGCTACAAACGAGCGGACCAACTCAGGTAGTCGAAATATGACGATCAGTATACTAAGAGGGTTAAGAACCAACAACAAACAATCTTGTTGCTTACATATGTACATAAATGAAATAGTATATTCGCCTAGTGATAGTATATTCGCTCGTATTTTTTTCGTTCCCAAAAATGTTAAATATATTTTAAATATTTTTAACAATATTTTAATTAATTAATTTAATAATTTTCTTCTCGTTTGTTTCTTTTTTTCAGAAATAACAAAGGGACTGCAAAAAGCTGAAATTTGATGAATTTGTGTTATAACAATAAATAAAAAGAAAACAAACAAAAAAACAGAAAACACACTTAAAAACGAAACTACAGAAACCCAACAACAAAATATCAACACATAAGGACTAAAGAGACAGACAAAAATAAACATGCAACATGATGTTTACCCCCCATAAAAGTTATGTAAAAAAAGTTACAAAAAAAATTAAAATTGATTACTGTAAATCAAAACATTCAAATGTTACAACAACAATAAAAAACATGTAAACAGCATAACAATTGTTTTATTTGCCTTATTTTTGGGATGGGAGAGGTTCATACTTTTAGAGTAAACCGTAGAATGTCTAAACGTTTAAATAAAATATGATATACAGTGAGTGTAATAAGTATTTTGCCTCAATATAAATTTGACAAAATTCTAATATACACGCCTAAAGCCAGCATACTAAAGATGTAAAATGGATTATGTATAATGGGATATGTTTGTGGATATATTTAGATCTTATTTCTGCAAGAATCACTGCGAAAGGCCTATTGGTCACGAAGATATCGGCCAAAATATATACCAACCCAAAAATGATTATCACAAAAAAGTATTTTGCTTTTTATTATAATTTTTGAAAAAATCATTATATAACACACACTTTATCTTTTTATATTTACCATTGCGGGTAACCACATACTAAAAGCGATTTGGGTACGATTTCAATAAACCACAGCATTTTTTTCGCGAATATTTTCTCACATTTACGTTCAATACATTCTCCACCAATTTTTCATTTACTATATGGTAATTTCTCGTCCTAATCTCAAAATGAGAGTATTAGAATTAGTCGTCGCGGCTTCAAAACATCCCAAATAAGATTAGAATAATAAAAAGGAGGTCTTGCAAAATAAATCGCGAGGACAGGACCTTAAAAACTATTAAAACCAAAATCCGACAAACAAATTATTAAAAAAATATCGCGAAACCCAATTTTTCTGACTTTGAAAACTTTATGGTTCATTAATATTGATCTAGGAACCAATATATGCGATGAAAATAGCAATAAGGTGGTCAGAATTTTTAGTGACACAAAAGTTTTTGGGCCAGTTTGGCTGACAAGCCAATGTATTGTCATAGGTGATACCATGTCGGATATTGGTTGAATTGTCCCCGAATAATATAATTTTTGATTCCATTTCGACAGCCGGAAGAGAGATCCAAAAGTCGCTCGACAGTTGAACTTGCAACTACCAGGGATAAATCCATTTAACTATTTTTTTGTTCTCACATCAATTCCCCCTTTATTCTCTCCATACTCTTTCATTAATTTCTTCTATGGTAGTTATATAAAAAAGAAAAATAATTTCACTCGTTTTTACATCATTTATTGGAGTAGAAAACATTTGATTTCTCTTTTTTAGCTTTATTACTTAAATCGTACTCTTTTGTGCATTAATCTAAGTTGGTACTCTAAATATTAAAAATACGTCAAAATGGAAAAGAAACAATTGTCTGCAATAAAATTCTACAAAGCAACATGTACACGACAATTAGTATATATTGACAAGTGTAGTTTTGGAGAACATCATCCTAATCATGAAATTAAGTGTAAAATATATTTGTAGGTAGGTAGGTATTGTGAAACAACGTATCTAACATTAAAAGCTACACTGATTATTTATCCAGGAATTGTGTCAAATCAAACATGTAGACATTGGAAACCAAACAATCACCATCCTAGAATGACAAAAACAAAAATAATAGATTCCATATTAATACTGAGAAAATGGGATATATGTATATCGACTACTTACACCGGGTGTAATACCAACTAATGCATCGGCATGTCCATAGAATTCTTCTTTCAATGAAATAACAATTGTCTGCAAATTGGTGGTATGATCTCGTATATATGAGGCAACTTTGCCAATATTCGTATTATCCAAAGCAGCGTCAATTTCGTCAAGTACAAAGAATGGAGCAGGTTGATAGCTGAAAGAAAGCAAAAAATTTGCATCATACGTACAAAGAATATATCATTGCCAAACTCACTTGTGTATGGAAAATAGTAAAGCTAAGGCGGCAATTGTTTTTTCACCACCACTCAAATTGCTCATGGGCTGGAAACGCTTGCCCGGTGCTACACAATTATAATTAATACCATCTAGATAAGGTTCTTCGGGATTATCGGGACCCAAATATGCTTGGGCGGCTTCATTGCGTGCAAGTTTTTTGTAAATTCCATCAATAGCATCGGAAATGTGATTACAACATTGAGTAAAACGTTCGGAGCGTTCATTCTTTACACGCTCAAATGCAGCTTTAGCTTTTTTCGCTTTGCGTCGGGCATTTTCGAACTCTTCATTTGTCAGTTGGACCTTTTCGGTGACAGCATCCAGTTTCTGTACAGCTTTCAGATTTGGCGTCTGTATACGTTCCAAAACATCCAACTTTGCCTGAAGATCTTTTTGTAAAGTTTCATTCATTTTCTTGAAACTCGAATCGTCTTTTAGCTTGCAAATTTCACGCGGTAAACTCGAATAATCAACTTCAATACTGAAATGAATTATGACAAATTATTGAATGGTAAATAACGACTATGTCATGAATGTCCTACTTTGTTTCCTTGTCCACAACTGCATTTGCAGATGTTGAAGGTGTATTACTGTCAATTTCGCCACCTTGACCGACACAATCGTCCAGCGATCCTCTCAATAGTGGAATAGCAATACAATCCATCTGTAAATGAAGAAATTTATATCGATTTGCTATTTATATTACAAAGTGCAATGTACCTTTGCCTGCATCAACAGATTGTGACGCTCATTTTTCTTTGTTTCAATTTTTGATTCAATCGACGACACCATAGAGCCCACATTGTGAATTTCCTTGGCCAAGTTGGCAACATCTTTTCGTGCCTTAGATATTTCTTCTTCCATATCATCGACCGCTTGTTTCTTCTCTGCTTTGAGTTGTTTCAACTTTTCCATTTTCTCTTTATCCTCATCGATTTCACTCAAGTACCGTTTCTCAGCAGCACGTAATTTTTCCAAGGCATCTTCTTCATCCTGAACACTACGTTCCCAACGATCAACATTTTCTATAAGACAAAAAAATTCAAGTCTCTTAGAATTTGTTTGAAATAAAACTAAATATGATTATACTTCTTGTGTCCTTTTGTTTTTCAAAATCCAACTGGGTGTTGATAGCATCAATTTGCTGTTCGAATTCGGCACGTTTGCGGGCCCTTTCCTGTTGCATTACCAATTCGCGTTCCTCGTATTGGCGAATATTTTTAACGCCTAAACGGCGACAGAAGGCAGCAAATACTTTATCTTCTACATTATTCATGTTCTCTTTAATTTCCTGAATATGCTCCTCACGTTTCTCCATGCGTCTTTCGATTTCAGTAATTTTTGGCTGTGAATGAAATTATTACTGAGTATAAAATGTATTTATTATAATACAAACACCTTACCCCAAATGCATCTAACTGACTTTGAACTTGTTGCAATTGTTTATCAAATTGCTGTATCGATTTCTTTGAAGATTCCAAATCCACCATACTGTATTTTAAACGATTTTCAAGTCCCTAAATATATATATAGTTCAAAATTGAAATATGATCTCTTCAAAGTTGAATATGGTAAAACCTTACCTTAATTTGAGATTCCACAGTGGCCAATTCACTTTGCTTACGGGATTTCTTTACTAATTCCTTGAGCTCCTCGCTCAATTTCTCCTTTTGCATTTTCAGTTGGGCCATATGTTTTTCGTCCCAACGCTTAGCTTTCCGGGCCAAATCATGACTACCACCAGATATTAGACCAGATTTCTGATAAAATGTACCATCCAAAGCCAAAGCATCATAGCGAGAACGATCCAATTCATAGGCCACTTTCATAGCATCTTCAGGTGTTTCACAGACCAAAGCATTGCCAGTTGCAAACAGTACAGCGCGTTCAATTTCTTTCGGTTCGAATTTTAAGACATCGAATACAAGTTTTACATTGCGTGGTTCGCTTATGTTTCTGAAAAATAAAAAATGAATGAAATGAAAAAAAATCCGTGTAGATCTGTGTATGGGAAATGCATTTACCTTAAACGTTCCTTAAGTGGTTTAACTTGCAAATAATCGAGTGGCAAGAATGTTTCAACCTCCAACATTTGTTCCTTAAGTATCTAAATGTTCGATAAGGAGAAGAATAATTTTAGTTTATAACAAGAATATATACATGTGGTAACCAAATTACCTGAATACATTGGCGAGCAGTTTTTTCGGTATCCACAATAATAGCTTCCATAAATTTACCCAACACTTTTGTTACAGCTACATTGTAACGTTTATGGGTCGGCTGACACATGTTTATCATTCGATCATACTAAATCAAAAAAAGGTGTTAATGTTGGTATTAATGCTAATAATTACCATTACATACCACACCCGGCACTTGTTTCTTAAAGAGTTCCACAACTTCTTGTTTCTTTTTTCTACGAGCATCTTCATGTTTATCACTTCTGGCATCACCCAATTGATCTCTAACATCTTCAAGTATGCTTTGTATTTCGGCAATTTTCTCCTTTGAGCAGCCAACATCACGTTTCAATTCATCTTTGATGCGATTCTGTTCTTCCAAGGCAGCTTCTGATGATTTGATATGATCCATTAATTTGTCACGTCTTTTAATGGCCTCCTCACGTTGAAGTGTTAGTTTCTTCAGGGCTTCCTCAACCGATGCTCGACGATTTGTTTCTCCATCGAGTAAATCTTGATCAGATTTTTGCTCTCGATTAACAGAATCTAACTGGGAACGATACTTTGTCGCGGTAGCTTCTGCTTCCTGTTTAAGACTATCATATTCCTGAACTAGCCCTTCTTCCATGTGTACACTTTTACCACGTCGCGTTGATTCATTTGCTATTTCATCCTCAAATCTTTTCTTTAGTTGTTCTATTTCATTCAGTTGTTTCTCCAGTTTGCGTATATCCTGTTGATGAGCATTGTCAGCTTCTCGTGCAGTTTCGAGAGTTTTGGCCAAGGATTTCAACTTTTTCTGACAATGTGCAACTTTCTCTTTGGCTTTAATATAGAGCGGATGTTTTTTATTCATCTGTGTCTCGAACTCACGTATCTCCTGATCTACTTTAGCCAAATCACGACTTAATTTTCCGGATTCTTTCTTCTTTTCTTTTAGAACATCGTCCACTGCAGCTTTGCGACTTTCCACTTCTTTAACATCCTCTTGTTTTGATTCCAACTCTTCGTTTAACTTCTTAATATCTTTCTCTACATGATATAGACGAAATAATTGATATTCAACCTTTTTCTCATTCTGAAATTGGGATAAAATTAAAATTATTGTTCTCAAGATCTGCTATTTGACATGATTGCTTACATATTCATTTTTCAAACGGGCATATCGTTCCGCTTCCATCTTCTCGTGTTTAGCTTCCTTTCGTTCAGCCGCAATGCCCTTCTTCTTTTGATATGTAAATTGTGTCTCCTCTTCGGCCAGTATCATTTCTTGTTTAAGACGATTATAGTCTTCCTTTAGTAAGCCAGACCTGAAATATTATTGATAAAAGGTTTGCATTAATTTCATGTACTTATCTGAAACTTTAGACGAGAGTTGGATCATTCTCGATTGGGCATAGTGCTTAAAATACTCACAAAAAATATGAAGAAAAGCACTATGTAAAACCTATCCATATATACATACCCACTAATCTCTTCAAATAAAGCTGTTCTCTCCTTGGGTGTTTTCATTGCAATATTTTCAACTGCACCTTGGAAAACTAAAAAGTTCTTCGCCTTGACATTAATGCCCATCTTTTCCAGTCTTGCCAAATATGATGAACTGGATACGCTGTTCCCATTTATTCTATACTCAGAAGAACCACCAATAACTGCACGTTGGAAATCCAACTGGTAGTCACCATTGACAATAAATTTCGCTGTAACATAACAGCTGCGTGCCACAGGTCGTCCAATCGATGAGCCATGTATGAGATCGTTCAGACGTTTTACACGCAAACTAGTGGTTTTCTCACCCATAACAAAACTGATGGCGTCCATGAAGTTGGACTTACCTGCAATACAAAAAGAAAAAACAAGCTTTAGACCTGAAATATGTTGCAGTGCTTTGGCAAACATACCTGAACCATTGGGGCCAATTACTGCGGTAAATTGTTTTAGTGGACCCACAAGAACATGACCTCGATAGGATTTAAAGTTTTCCATTTCTATATACTGAAGGAATGAGGCCTCAATTTCATTGGGCGGTGTGGTTTGATTGACAGATGTTAGTGTCACATCGGCAGCATTCTCCTCCTCCGCCATTGTGGCACACTTTTATGTCACAATATTGGAAGTATTGAATTTATTGACTGTCGTACAATCTTCTGAACAATTCTAGCTACTTTATTACCGAAATTGCAAACAATTTGTTGCACTTTACAGAAATTGTGAAAACACAGTAAAAGGACGCGCTATAACTAAAATCGTTCCACAAAGAAATAGTTCACTTTAACGGTTCTCTGAAATGAACATCGGAACTAGATACAGTTCATGCACTTATCTAGTTCCACTTGTTCTTCGATAATGTTTTTCCGTTCAGTGGAAATATTAGGTCGCAACCTTATACATTGCGTTTGCATACATAAATCTTGTACTATAATAGCGCCTTTACATTCGGCAGTTTTTAGCTGAGAGAAAACCAAAAATACGTATTTGGGAAAATAAAAAAATAAATTTTTTTAAATATAATTCATAGGGAATCATTAATAAAATATATATACCTTGTATTATTGTACCATGGTAGGACAGCTTGAAGTGAATAACAAAAAAGCAACTATGCACGTGTGGTCTCTTCTGCCAAAAATAAATATACGCAACAAGTGTTTGTGTTTATTTGGCATTTTTTCAACACAAAACTGAATACGCGAAAAATGAATGAAAGGTTATGGTTTCTTCCCAAAATCCAGTAGGGAATACCACCAAATGTGTGTTTCATCCATAACAAAGTAATTACTTCCAGACGAACGTGTTCAAAACTTAATTTTCATTTCAATTAAATTTAAAAATATTTCAATTTATTTTGAATTTATTTTACATTGTATTCAAAACAATAAACACATATACACAAAATATGTATTTTGATTTGATGGAACAAGCCACCTTGAGAAAAAATTTGTAATCAGTTGGTAGCTGTGCCCTACCTTGTAATAATTATATTGACTAATTGCACCATGGATGCTAGTATTTTTTTTCGTTTTTCTTTGAAATTATTAAATATGGTATACCAAAATATAGTGCTGACATTAAGTGGAACAAATCAGCGGCCCGATTTAGAACTAATTTAAGCTCACGCTTCCTTGTCGTCACTTGGGGCATTAACAAATATTCCGTCCCTATAAATGCATTATTATTGCACTTTTATTAATAAAAAAAAATAATCGAAAACAAAAAATATTTTAAGTCGAAATGAAACGTTGACAAATAGTTTTGACAATTTACTTTACAAATAATAAAGAAAAAAGTTTAAAACCATATGATTGCCACTTACACCTTATTAAATACACCTTGGTTTTTGCATTCTAACAGAAATTTTTGAAATAATTTTGTACCTTGAAGTATAAATCAAGGAAAATCAAGCAAACTCAACAATATTGTTTTTATATCTGGCGGAACAAGTCATTACGTAAATAGTTGCATTTGTTTTTTTTTTTAATTTTAATGCTGCAGCGCATTTGGTTGTTCATCTATATATATTCTAGCTGCAATTATTGTACATTAATTTGATGATAAATCGTACGTCTTATTAAATGACCTACGAATGATAATTTTCACATATATTTGTTTAAAAAGAAGTTGATCATTTATTTTCTAATTTCACTTAAATATTAATAAAAATATTACAAAAAAAATATCAGTCGAAAGTTGACTTACCTGTCCCTATTTTATAGGGATCAGATGATATATCGTCACTATACATCACATTCATTCGTAAACATTACGTTTCTTCATCCATTTTGTTTATATCCTAATTTTTTATCTGTCATTCTATACTGTCTCCTCTATTCTTAGCAAGTGGAACGTTTTTAAATTCGGTCGGTTGATTTCATTAATTTTCTGCTTACAAGTAAATGTTTTAATATCTGAACATTTGTTTAAATTAAGTGAAATTCCAGTCAAATAACGGTATTTCAACGTTACAAACATGAACAGGTCTTCGATGACAATTCGTGAGAAGCTAGACTTACTAAATGATGCAAAAGCCGGAATGGATAAACCTGCACTGATGGAAAAATATAAATGTGAGAAAAATGCTGTTTATCGAATCCTGCGGGAAGAACAGAAAATTCGGCAAATTGGACTAAATTTGAATTCAGAAAGGAAACGCAACCGTAAAAGCGTCCATCAAAATGTTGAAGATTTCCTCAATATTTGGGTGAGGAGGCAACAGAAACAAAATAGGCCATTGACACGAGATGCCGTAGTGAAGGCAGCTCAGGAGATTGCAGAACGTTTAGGTTCGAATTTTGTTCCGTCATCTACGTGGATAGTCAGATGGAAGAACCGAACAAACGTGAATTTGGTTCGCCCAACTAAGAAGACTGAAACCGAAAATAAAATCGAAAGCGAAGATTTTGATGATCTCATGCAGGCTGATGTGAAGAAAGAGCTGGGCGACATAAGTTGGGCAAACAACTCTAATGAGACATATCACAATTCTATGGAAGATTATGATGATCAAATGGACAATGAAGATATGATCTATCATTGTCCAAAAGTTGAACTTTCCGAATCATACATTTACGATTATTCTGAATCTGTGGCGGACGTCGAGCAACCTACAAATCAAGAGAGCTCCATACCAGAAAGTGATATTTATAGTTCATCACCGGCTACAAAGAAGCAAAGTTGGATCAGTCAGTTGGTTCTCACACAATTGGATAGCATACATCCAGATGATAGAGGTGATTTCGCCTGGGAAGTACATAAGTTGATTCGGAAATATCAACATAAAAATAAGTTGAGGATGAAAGAACATAAATAGTTGTCTTCAATTCATTTCTTAATAGTAATAGACTATTTTTTTATTTCCAATATACCTATGTTTTGTAATGAAGATACCTTCAATTTTGTCCAAAGCCATATTTTTAATGACATTTTGATTGTTGTAATTTTTATTAATCAAAGTCCGTTGATTAATAAAAATAAACATGTTTTAATAACATTTTATATTAATAAGAAATTTAAATTTGCGAAATTAAGAAAAATATAAATATATGCAACAGGTTGTTTTGTTTATTTGAATGTTCTTTATTAAATTAACTTTTATTAAATAGGAAAACATATCGCGATATTAATGGAAAGTCTATTTTTATATCCAGTGGTTTAAAATACTAGTTTTCTTAAAATTTTAATAAACCCTCTAAAGTGTGGTTGTTATAAAGATTATTTTGAGTGATTTTACACAGAAAATGCAAAAATCTTTTTGAAATTAGTTTCTATTTCTCCTTTATAAATTCGAAAAGTTGTGGGCTGTGATCGAAATTCAGCTCCCGAGGTAACAATTGCCGCAGAGATAGGCCCAGCCGACTCAGGCACCTGCTTCGCGCTCGCTACCTTTGGCGCATCCACCAACAGCTGCCTAATTGTTACATTGGATATCGGTTTCGACAATTCGGCAGAGGGAGGTTGAGCCTTATCACCCTTCTTGGAGACCTTTTTACGGGCTCTCCGTCGGGCTGACATCGGCAGTCCCTTACCCTACGTCTTCGTGGATGCTGGTGTCTGAGACGTCTCAGTACTCAGTTTACCCTTGGGAGGTACTAAGGGGTTAGACGTCTCAGTCACCGGCTTCCTAGATGTGCTAGGACCTCCAACATTTTGCTCCTTCTTTGAAGTGACTACCGTGGTGGTCTTCGCACTAGGTCTAGGAATCCTTTCAATCAAGAAGTCCCTCGCAATATCATTCGGATAGTTCCTGAGGTGCTTTCGAATGAATTTGAAGTTCCTCTTGATCAAAAGGAACTCATTTTCACTCACTTTAAGAGGTAATGAACCTGACATTCTCACCTTATTCTGAATGAATAGAGAGAAACAAGGAATGTGGGATGCGGATTCGAAGGTGGTTGAAAAACGATTCGTGTTGCCTGCCATATTGTAATTTAAGTTGTAATGTGCGTTGTCACATTGCAATTTAATTTTGTAATATTTTTCAATATTTGCGAAAAATTCGAACATAAAAAAGCATGCACAAAATATCAAAAAAAAAAAAATAATTTTGAAAATTGTATCTTTTTAGATAATATATGAAAAGGTCTTAACCATATATTATATGAGGCCTATTCCAAAAGATAGACAAAATTATGTTTTCAATATCATCTTTTGGAATAAAATGCATATAACCATTCATCCAGAAAATTGTGTCTGTGTTGCGACATATGTCTGTGTTGCGACATATGTGGTTTTGGGTGAAATTCATATGTGGTTCTGGTAAAATTTTGTTGGATTTGGACCAGTATTTACAATTTCAAAATTTTTCAATAAGTAAACAAAAATTTTTACCAATATTTCAAAATGGTGAATTCTGATTGGTTGAATTTAATTAGCTTCAAGTTTTGTATGTCACGGCGAATCATTTATTTTTCGCCTTGTTAGCAAAGTTGACATATCATGTTCCCAATTCGGCGATGCGGCTACCTTATTTGAAAAGAGAACGATAAAAATTGCCGAAAGTAAACTCGCCTAATCTAAATCAGGACATAGTGAGTGTAATAAGTATGTTGCCTCAATACAAATTTTACAAAATTCCAATATATACCTCTAAACCCAGCATACTAAAGATGTAAAATGAATTATGTATGATCGAATATGTTTGTGGGCATATTTAGATTGTATTTCTGCAAGTCTCTCTGCGAAAGTCCTAGGGTCACGAAGATATAAAAAAGATTTTTTTTAATAAAATGGCAAAATTCGCACTGAACGATGTCAATAACACAACGAATAATGGGAAGAAATCTGCGATTAAATTAATTCACAGTTTATTATTTCACTACATAATTGTGTGCCGTATTTAATATCGATATTTTATCTCCCTAAATTCTTAAAGTGTCCAATTATTTTATGATATGCTACTCCTCCTTTATTTCGTCCTTCAAATCATGCACACTATGAATTTTAGAAAAAAATGTATTATTATTGCTGTTTTTTCATAAAGTGTTGGCGGGTTATTTTTCATTTTTTTTTTTTTTTTGAGTATGTGTTTTCCATAATTTTTAATATTTTTTCTGGAAACGTGAAAAAAATCGCTGCGAGTGCTCTTTCAGAATAACTTTAAAGGGAAGAGCGAACAATAAGGCTGATAAATTAGTGAACATTATAAAATTGATCGATTGTTGTTGATTTTGGAACAATTCTATTATAATCTTATATTGAGAATGAATTTTAAGCCATTTAACGGTAATTTAAAAATTATTAACAGTTACGGTTACGTTACGTTTACAGTTATCTAACAAACCAGCGATTTGTAAATTGTTTAATATTGAGAAAATCATACGACTGTCTGTAATAAAACAACAACAACAAACACTATACTAATACTATTTCCGATTGACCGATGTGTTGCTGTATGCGATATATTGCAGAGCAGATATTGCTAACAATAAAATCAGTACTATTTGTATTGCTGCGCGCGAAAGTCACGTTGGCGCTCGGGTAAAACAAAAGCAAAAAAATCGTTTTTTGTAACATATAATAATTTTCAAAAAGAAAATACTGAAAAATTAATTGTTTCATATACATATGTAATTTTTTTCGTATTCAATTTTAACAAACCTTAAGAATAGCCGCAATTTAAATTCGTGGTTAAACAAATTAAATTATAACGTTTTTTTATTAACACAGTGCAATAAAATTAATTCAGAATGGATCATTGTAATGGAAATAAATCATTAAACATTGCCCCTAGCGATCGTCAAGGGCTTTGGAGCACGAGTGGTGATAATGATGTTCCCGGCAGCGTGTCGGGCCTCCAGCGTTTGCAGCACAAAAAGTTTAATAAGGTATGTGGGGTTATAAGAAATGCATATCGTTTGCATACAGAGGAATGCATTCGAAAGGAAATACGAATCTTAAGATGGGTCGCTTGATAGTGTTTGTATTGTCGACAACAAAATCAACTTGTATTTTTTTTGGTATTTATTTAAAAAAGTTTTCTGTCATAATCCATTATTGTATATCCGACGCTATGCAATAATGGGTTTTGCAATATTATAACAAAAATTCCAAATAAGTAAAGATAGTGAATCTAATTGGTCCATTATTAAAAATTTTTTGATATGGATTATATTTGACTGATTATGCATACTTATGTGTCTGATAAGATACGTGTAACAATATCATTACCTTTGTTTACTTTTTATATTAAAAAATAGTCTAAGTACTAACTGTAAAAAATCATTATGAGAGTATAAATGTTTTAAAAATGTACAATCAAAAAGAGATTCTTTATATTCCTCTAACTCTAATTGTATTTTTTTATTGTCTCATTATATTGTTTTATAGACAAATATATAAACGTAAAAATGTATATGGGTATAAAACACAAATATTCATGCAGAACACACAAGAATATTTTATTTACTTTTTTACCAAAAATACAAAAAAAAACTATTCCCTTCCCCTCAAGTATGTCTTTCTTTTTTATATAAAAAAGTGTGTTCTCTATAATAGGAAATGAGGAATCGTTACAAGGTCAAAATGTCATTACCTATATTTCACTTTGTCAAGCAGAATACGACCTTGAAGATGCCGCCCTTCATTTGTTATGAATTCTGTCCAATATATTTAATATTAATTTTAGTTTTTATTGTTTGAGTGGGATGCTTAAAATTAGAATGAGAAAAAAATATTTCGACAGTGTCCGACATTTTTTGCCATATGCGTAAATTTTAATTATAACAAATACAATGAAATAAAAAACGCGGTTGTAATTTATATTAGCGGCTACTTTATTTTTATTCCAGAAAAACCCCGTCAATTATCGAAGATATAAACAAATCAAAAATTGCACTTTATTGTCGACATTTTGTTCAGATACAGAATTCCACTGCAATTTTTTTCATTTTTTTATCAGCTTATGTATATGTATGCTATCGTGTTTTAATGTTTATGTCATAAGGGTATTATAGCGATGTGTGGCCCAAGTAATATCTCGTCTAGCCGAATCGATCTAGACATGTGTCCGACCGTCTATTATAATTTGTAAACACAATACAGGCCACAGTTATGGAACAATCGCCATGAAATGTTGTATGTAAGGTTTAGGTCAGGAAAGACCCCTATTGTTTTTGGTAATGAACGGTTAATATTTAGGCGATGAAATGGAACAATAACTTTATTATTGTCTGTTTTGTGGTAGCTCTAGAGTCTATAATTATGACTCGAACACCACGAAGTTTAACATGGGGTTAGGGATTTAGGCAAAGTATAGGAATGACTGTTTTAATGAAGATCGATTTAGCGGGTCAAATAGACTTAGATTTTTGTGTGATAAAATACAAATTTTGTATTCTATGGCGTATATATTTATTTCTATTTGGAAGAGTGATTGACCTTTAAATTTACACCAATTATAGTGATGTATGTATGAGTTTTACTTAAATACTTACAGAATTCTACATATTCTGATATTATTTAGTATTTCAAAGCCATGGAAATTTAGGGCTGAGGTCTAGGAAATTTTTCCGGTTATGGTCAAAGACAACGCCTATAATTTTCGACGATGATCAGATTATTTCGGGGATGAAATGAACCGATAACTTTATTTTGTCTGGTTTTGTGGTCGCTCTAGGTGCCACAATTATCAGCCGAACATCACAAAATGTCTATGGGGGAATGTGATCTGACAAACTAATTGGAATAGATCCGCATAAACTTAGAACTCAGTGGTAGTTGCTCCGCCCGCTGTTTTTTTTTTTTATTTCCTGAAAATATTTTCTAGTAAGCTATTCCAAACTTTTCAATTGTCTAATAACATTCATCATTGAACCATTATGCTATATCAACGTCAAAGGACATTGAGATTAGCCGTAATAAATGGACTACAAAAAATCCCAATTGTTTAAACTACGTTTAAACGACATTAGAACTCTTTTTCCGGGCTAACCTCCTCTATGAGGATTTATTTGAGAAACGTGTAATGGAATTGATAGCGTATACGTCACCTTAAATTTTGTTATGATATAAATATACTTAATACTTAGGCTTAAGTTGAGTTTAGAGGCTCATCTCCGGGCATAGGTAGATCTCGTCTCCCTAATCACGAAAATATATGACATTCATGGGGGAAATCCATATTTCCCGAGATATGGACCTCTGAAGTTCCGGAATTCATATGTTTATAACTACGACATTTATGGACCGATTATGGTAATATTATCGGATATTTAGAGAAACATGTTTATTTAAAAGAAAATTTCGATCACATAGACGAATTTTCCACCTGTCCAGAGGAGAAAGTCTTAAATCCCCGTCCGAAGGCCAGCTATATAAAAAAAAATTTTAATATAAAGGAAAAAAATTAGTTGGCGCGTTAAGACGAATTTAAGTGAAAATATAATGTATGCGCTTTACAATCATACCAATATTACCTTCATCGATCCATAAATAATGAAGTTATAAGTATATGAATTCCGGAATTTCAGAGGTCATATCTCGGGAAATGTGGCTTCCCCCATGAAAGTCATATATTTTCATGATCAGGGAGACGAGACTTACTTTTTTATAAGTTTGTCGTTGACAGCATTCTGTTTTCAAAATTAAAATGAAAATATCTTCCTTCGAAACGTACGCATATTATGTGTTCAGTGGCAAAAATTGCTAAAAGATTTATTTTTATAAATATTTTAAAGCATGGCATAACTATACAAGGTAGTCTCATGCAGTCATATGTTTCCAATTTTTTCATAAAATTGCTTTTAACAACATTCAGCTTTCAAAATTTAAACGAAAATAAAAAAACCACATATATTAGGTAGTCGCATCGGCGAATTACTACAACAAAGCAACTTTTTTGGTAACATTATATGTCAAAATTTGTAAACAAGGCAAACAAAATTCAATTCGCCTTGACATATCAACATTTAAGCAAATTTGATTCAACCAATCAGAACAAAATGTTTTTATGCCCTATACATCTATATTATAAGTATGTGTTGCCTCAAGAGTTTGTAGCTGCACGATATATTGATTCTAGATCCTTTTCGTATATCGTATATCATCTCTCAACTAGCAGAATCATTCTAGTCAGGTGTGTCGGTCTGTCCATCATAATTGAAAACAAAACAAATTTTCTGTGTCGGCATCTTTCAATAATTTCCATTGTTGAATTCTGGAGATTTTGCATGTAGATACGGCCCTTGCCTAAGACGACTTCTATTGGTTTTGGTAGTGATTTGTTTATATTTACAGGCAAACGAATAAGAAGGGTGTTTTCATGATGTTCAGTCAATATTTAGCTGGTCAAATTTATCAAAATGTTGTTTTAAAAATCTCAAATACATGTTTAATACCGAATTTCAATGGTTCTCTCATTTCACAACAAATAAAAAATACAACTCTACCTTGTGGCTTGTTAAATCAAACATTGGTATAAATAGAAATTAAATTCCATGAATACGCAATATGGTCAATGAAATAATGAAACGAATTTGGACAGTCAAATACGGTTATAGTGAACTTATAGGGACCGATCAAATTAGTTCGTTATGGAGGATGTTCGTTATATTCAATGTAATGCAAAACCAAGACTAAGCAGGAAAAATACATTAATTTATATTAAAAAATAAACAAATAAATCATGGCATAATGATGGTATGTATTCTCATTAGGGAAATTGATAATGGCAACTCTTTTTAATATGGAATTCATACATCAATTTCAAATAAAATGAATGAATGTATGTATGTCGTTTGGCATATTTTCAATAAATTAAACAATATATACTTTCTAAAGCTGATCTCTCAAGATTTAACGGTGGTTGTTACAACTTATATTTATAAGTTTTAGAGGCAGGTAACTTTAAAATCATGGCATAACTATACAAGGTAGTCTCATTTGAGAAATTTATAATGGCAACCCTTCTTAATATGGAATCCATATATCAATTTCAAAAAAATTAAAAATGAATTCCATAAAATTTAAATTCGCCTTAAGGGGACCCCCCCCCCCCATTCTCGGGGTCAAAATGTTTGTTTATATAATTCGAATCTACACTGATTTAAGAATGTCTCTACAAAATTTCAAGTGAAAATCTCAAGAACTCTTGAAGATATAGCCGATTTATTGTGTCAGCATCAAGTGACGGCTGAAGGGCTTCTCAAACTTTAAACGCGTTTTTCTCTAAATATTTTTTTGCGAATGGCGGGCACGATAACTCAAAAACTAATAATCCAATCGGTTCCAAATTTTGCAACGTTTCTCTGGGAGTGTATAGCTCTCGTATGAACTAGGATAAAGCCAATCGGTGAAGATCTTCCTTATTTTTTAACTTGGGTTTTGGTACAAAAATCGGCGATTTTCCAAAAATATTTTTTCAAAGGTCCACAATTTTGTCAATTTTAGAGCGAAGTCAATAATCCTAGTTCATAGGAGAGCCAGACATGCACTCTTTCTAACACCGTTGGAATTTTCGGATTCCGATGTTCCAGTGAGGAGTTATCATGCCCGCCATCAAAAATATGGACTTTTCTTTAATTACAAAAAACAACAACAAAACAATAACAAAAATTTTTGTAAATTCTTTTTCTTCTCTTTTAAATCTTCAATTATATATGTGCAAAGTTACAAACCTTAACAAGCATTTGTATTCATTTACCACCAAATTTCGTGATTTTTTTCCAAGACGACTTCTATTGGTTTGGTAGTGATTTGTTTATATTTACAGGCAAACGAATAAGAAGGGTGTTTTCATGATGATCGGTCAATATTGAGCTGGTCAAATTTACCAAAATGTTGTTTTAAAAATCTCAAATACATGTTTAATACCGAATTTCAATGGTTC